ACTCCACAAATCTGGCCTTTATGGTAGAGTGGCAAGAAGAAAGCCATTGTTGAAAAAAAGCCATAAGAGGTCACGTTTGCAGTTTGTGAGAAGCCATGTGGGGGACACAGCAAACATATGGAAAAAGGTGCTCTGGTCAGATGAGACCAAAATTGAACTTTTTGGCCTAAAAGCAAAACGGTATGTGTGGCAGAAAGCTAACACTGCACATCACCCTGAACACACCATCCCCACCGTGAAACATGGTGGTGGCAGCATCATGTTGTGGGCATGCTTTTCTTCAGCTGGTCAGAGTTGATGGGAAGATGGATGGAGCGAAATACAGGGCAATCTTAATAGAAAACCTGTTAAGAGTCTGCAAAAGACTTGAGACTGGGGTGGAGGTTCACCTTCCAGCAGGACAACGACCCTAAACATACAGCCAGAGCTACAATGGAATGGTTTAGATCAAAGCATATTCGTGTGTTAGAATGACCCAGTCCAAATGCAGACCTAAATCCAATTGAGAATCTGTGGCAAGACTTGAAAATTGTTGTTCACAGACGCTCTCTATCCAATCTGACAGAGCTTGAGCCATTTTGCATATAAGAATGTGCAAAAATTTCCCTCTCTAGATGTGCAAATCTGGTAGAGACATCCCCAAAAAGACCTGCAGCTGTAATTGCAGCAAAAGGTGGTTCTAAAAAGTATTGTCTCAGGGGGGCTGAATACAAATGCACGCCACACTTTTCAGATATTTATTTAAAAAAAAAACATTTATCATTTTCCTTCCACTTGACAATTATGTGCCACTTTGTGTTGGTCTATCACATAAAATCCCAACAAAATACATTGACGTTTTTGGTTGTAACATGACAAAATGTGGAAAATGTCAAGGGGTATGAATACTTTCCAAGGCACTGTACATAAGAATAGCCATGACCGAAAACTTAGGACCATTTATAAATAAGGGCACAACAAACCTGAGACTTTCCTGGGCCACATTGGAAGAAGAGGATTTGTCTTGGGCCACACAAAACATACACTAACAATAAGGATAGCTGATGAGCAGAAAATGTTGGGCAGATCACAAGTTAACAATCACTGTTACAGATAATATACCTATCTGAGTACGAAGCCTTAATTTTTAAACTAATTTTATTAAAAAAAATAAAAAAAAAGGGCAACATAAAACTAGTGCAATATTTTACACGTTTTTTCATAAACTAATTCAGGGGTCTCCAAACTTTCTAAACAAAGGGCCAGCTTACTGTCCTTCAGACTTTAGGAGGGTTGGAGTCGCTAATGTAAGTAGAAAATGCCCCAACATCAATTGGAGCAAACATTGCCCAATCATTGGTATCAGTGAGTGGACTACTGCCCCATTGTTGGTATCAGGGGAAGGAATAGTTCCCCGCCTTTGGTGTCAGTGGGAAAAATAGTTTCCTCCTTTTAGTGTCAGTGGGATAAATAGTGCTCTGCCTTTGGTGTCACGGCACTATTTCTCCCACTGACACTAAAGGCAGGGCAGTATTTCAGTCACTGTCTTTGGTGTCCGTGAGAGAAAGAGGGCCCTGTCCCTTTCTTTGTCTTTGGTGGCAGGGGGAGAAATAATGCCTTGTCTTTCCTGACAGTGGGAAAAATAGTGCCCGTCTTTGGCATGATTAGGAGAAACAGTGCCCTGTCTTTGGTGTTAGTGGGAGAAAGAGTACCCTATCTTTGGTGACTGTGGGGGATATAGTGCCCTGTCTTTGGTGTCAGTGGGGGAAACAGTGCCTTGTCTTTGGTGTTCGTGGATGGAACAGTGTCCCATTGTTATCAGTGGCAAGAATTATGCCCATTGTTGGTGTCAGTGGAAGGAATAGTGCCTTACACCTGTGTGACACACAGTGCCCCAAGGGCTGGATAAAGGAAGGCATAAGGCCACAGGTTGGCGACCACTGAACTAAAGTATCAACATCTGGTTCAATGGGTGTAGTCGCGATTTTCAATTAATTACTTATCAATTACTTAAGGTACTTATCAGATATTTGGGTTTTAAATTTACCCTTCATGTGCTTCATGCTTGAAAATAGTTGCTCACAAATATAGGTGCTGCTGAAAACTAATGACATGAATAAGATGTACAGTAAAGTTCAGTAAAGAGACATTGTTAAATTTTTCTTCGACTGCATATGTTCACTGTGAATGCATTTTTACAAAAAAAAATCTTATGATTTTCTGTTGGGCCGCATTCATGGCCGTCTTGGGCCGAAGATTGAACACCCCTGGTTTAAAACAAAGCCAGCTATTGATTTACATAAGTAGGCCCTTTAAGTGTCCTTCAAAATTTTAAGTAGAACTGGTTTATGACAAGGCAGAAAGTGAATTTTCTAAATCTGGTTCACTATATGTCTTGTTCTAGTACGGTTGTCTGGGCTTTTGCTGTATCCCCCGTTTGGATCCAGATGAGAACATTTTGCTTTCTTTATTTGATGTCTCTGAACACTCTAATAGACGAAACAAAAAGGCAAAACATGACCATCTCCCTCCTCAGCCTGAAGCCATCAGTGGTGAGGGGGGGGAGCAGGGCTGGAACCTCCTGCAGGAAGCCCTCAGTTCTAATGCATTGAAGAAGTTGGCTGATACTTCACAGAGTCAGTCTCCATTGTTAATGTAACGATCAGTCTTTCATAGTTTTGGATGGGTTTTCTTTAGCGTGCAATTCCAGCTTTGTTCAGAAAAAGGAAAAGCCATTGTTCCCAAAGGGAACTTTATAGTGCAGTAACAATGAATCCATATTTTACAGGTTCACACTGGAGCTTCTTCAAGGATTCTTGGAGTTATTTTTTTTTATCTGTGTTTGTACACGTGTTTTTTGGGCTTTTGTATAGGCATAAGTAATTCTCCTTTAGTAAATGAAAAGCTAATTACTAGAAGAAAAGGAAAAAATTGGTGCAAAAAAACACATTTTCAGGCATTCCCATTGAAGTCAATAAAGGAAAATGTGTGGCTCTGCCCCGAAAATGCGCATGTACTTTGCCAAGCAACAAGCCTCACAACATTCAGGTATTAACGTTTACCATTGAATATAATAAGAATCTTGATGTTGACCAATGAAGTGCTTTGGGAAACATGCTTTAAATTGCCCAAGTGTGAACTGTACCTAAATATTAAAATTTGGCAACTAATGCAGGCCATACATAGGTCAAATTCCAAAAACATTTTTAGAAAATCGGAGCTTTTGTGCATTTTATAATCTGATGGTGCCACCATTGACGTTGAAATTTATCAACCAAGGTTTTAATTTCACCTCATGTTGCTACAGAACAGAATTTTCGTGGCCAAGAATTTTCTTTCCTTTCCAGGTCACAGCTCATACTCATTTGTTTTTTTATTACATTTCTTGCACGATACTTCCATCATTGATTAGAAATGTATTAGTTTTGCAAAAAATTTCCAGCATGCCCAATCACAAGTTCAATAGTCGCTCAAAAATCAGCTGTTGCTGTAGCCCACTAATGGTGCAAACTTTGAACAAAAATTCTTAGAAAAGATTTTCGAAAGAAAATCCTTTCAGAATTCTACCCACTTTGGGATGTGCAATTTCAAAGTCGCTGCATCTTTAAAGGATAAGTTCACCTTTCATAACATCTTACATTTTACATCCATATTCAGGGTATAATGTGTTATGAATAGACTGGACCCCACTCCCCTCCTTTGACAGTTAGCGAGGAATTTTCTCCTCCCACTAGCGGGCAAAATTTTCAAAACTCGCGGCCATGCGCGGCTCAGCCCACCTGACCTTAGCGACTGTTGGCTTGTAGTTCTAAATCAACTACCACGGCACTGTGGAAGCGCTGTGGTAATTCATTGATTCTTCCTTCAGTATATCTGCTTGCCCATACCTCCCGTATGGGCAAGCAAATATACTGACAGTTCTGCAGAAGACCTGCATGGCACCAACGATCTGCTGATCACTGGTGCAAAGGTTTACAGGTTCCTGCAATAAAACATAATAAAGGCACATTTTTTACTTGCAAAAAAAAAAATGTGCATTTATTATTTTTTAGCAAAAAGGTGAACTCATCCTTTAAGTTGCATAGATTGCAATGGGCTGCAACTTGTCATGCGACTTTGTGTGTCCAAAGTCACACTAGTATGAACAGAACCTTGAAGGGAATTTCAGTGGCTTACTTCAATTTCTTCTCAACAACTGTGAAGATAAAAAAACATTGGCCACTTATGGAGGGCATAGTTTTAAATGAGTCAGTTGACTCACAGGGGTTGATTTACTAAAGGGAAATAGACTGCATTTTGCAAATGATGTTGCATCCATTTTACCCAGAGATTAGTGAATGTGGCGAAGCTTAATTTTGTAAACAGTACCCGATCAGGTGCAAGGGGAAAAAAAAAAAAACATTTTGCCTGCATATGATTAGATGATAGAAATCAGAAGAACTTCACCATATTAATTAAGCTTCATCAAAAATGAATGAAATGGCACTTGCAAAGTGCAGTCTATTTGCCTTTAGAAAATCCAACCCATGGACTTGCGTTGTCAAAAGCAGCACTGCAACGCAGGAAGAAAAGCGTGCTTATGTGATAAGTGAATATGACCATTCCCTTGTACATATAAAAATTACAAATTATACCTAGAAACAAGGTTTTAAAACAAGAACACATAGGGGCTGATTTTCTAAAACTGGAGTGTGCAAAATCTGGTGCAGTTCTACATAGAAACCAATCAGCTTCCATGTTTTATTGTCAAAGCTCAACTGAACATGTTGAAGTTAGAAGCTGACTGGCTACTACACACAGCTGCACCAGAATTTGCACTCTCCAATTTTAGTAAATCAACCCCATAGTGTGATAAGAATATCTGTAGAAAGCAAAACTCATTTATATACACTATACTCCCAAATGTATTGGGACACCCCTCCAAATCAGAGGATTCAGATGTTCAAATCACCTCCATGGCCACAGGTGTATAAAATCAAGCACCTAGACATGCAGACTGCTTCTACAAACATTAGTGAAGAATGGGTCGCTCTCAGGAGCTCAGTGAATTCAAGAGCGGTCCGTGATAGGTTGACACCTGTGCAGTAAGTCCATGTGTGAAATTTCATTACTACTCAATATTCCACGCTCTACTGTTAGTGGTATTATAACAAATTGGAAGTAACTGGGAACAACAGCAACTCAGCCATGAAGTGGTAGGCCAGGTAAAATGACAGAGCAGGCTCAGCGCATAGTGCGCAGAAATTGCCAACTGTTTGCAGAGTCAATAGCTAAAGACCTCCAAACTTTGTGTGGATTTATCACAACAACAGTGTATAGAGAGCTTCATGGAATGGATTTTCATGGTCGAGCAGCTGCATCCAAGCCTTACATCACCAAGTGCAATGCAAAGCGTTAAATGCAGTGGTGTAAAGAACGCCACCACTGAACTCTAGAGCAGTGGAGATGTGTTTTCTGGAGTGATGAACCACGCTTCTCTGTCTGGCAATCTGATGGACATGTCTGGGTTTGGTGGTTGCCAGGAGAACGGTACTTGCCTGCCTGCATTATGCCAAGTGTAAAGTTTGGTGGAGGGGGGATTATGGTGTTGGGCTGTTTTTCAGGGGTTGGGCTTGGCCCCTTAGTTCCAGTGAAGGTGTCAGCATACCAAGACATTTTAGACAATTTCATGCTCCAAACTTTGTAGGAACAGTTTGGGGATGGCCCCTTCCTGCTCCAACATGACTGCGCACCAGTGCACAAAGCAAGGTCCATAAAGACATAGATGAGCGAGTTTGGGGTAGAGGAACTTGACTGGGCTGCACGGAGTTCTGACCTGAACCCAATAGAACACCTTTGGGTTCAACAAGTGTCGACAGCCTTCCCAGAAGAGTGTTATGGCTGCAAAGGATGGGCCAACTCATTATTGAACCCTACGGACTAAGACTGGGATGCCATTAAAGTACATGTGATTGTAAAGGCAAGCAGCCTAATACTTTTGGCAATATAGTGTCTTTACCTAAAGAAATACTTTTTACAAGAAGGATAAATTCCCTTTGTTTGATAATGGACAAGATTATTTAACCCTCTTTCAAAGTGAATGTCAAGTAGGAAAGCCTACTTTCACTATAAAACTATGCTCAACACCAGTGTTGTTTGAAATGCTGCATTCAGCAAATTCAGTTATGTGTTTGCATTGCATTTTGGGCAAATTTCTTACTTCCTGTAAAACTCCTACAGCAGTTTAAAGACCCAGACTCCTGAAGTAGACTTAATAGGATTAACTTTAAAAGGCTGAAAAAAGGTTTACCGGCCTGACAGCTTGAACCCTGTTTACATCTAGCCTGGGATGCCATATTTAGCACAACAGAACACTCCACAGACATGAGATGACGGCTTATGGCCAGATTGGGCAATGATTTAATTTCTATGGAGGTTTGCAGATGTCTTGTTGCTGGGAGATAATGGGAGAAGAACATAGGTGTCACGGTTAGAGGTCAGGCTCAGAGACCAGTAGCTATAGCAGCAGACCAACCAAGAGGATAGGTAAACAAGCAGGTCAGACTGGGGCTGCTGACCACTGTTGTTGGTTAGCTGGCTGGCAAGTTGAACTGGGTAGCTTTAGCAGTTTGATGTGCAATGTCTGTCCATGTTGACTGCTGTAAAAGCCAGTTATAGACCAGGATGGTGACCAACTTCCTTTGTATAATGTAATGGAGGTCTGTGGGTGCACTGGATACCCTGGTTGCCATTGTGCTATATGCTGGGTGCCCAATGTGCTCCTGTACCTTTAAGGAGGAGTGGGCTCCCTCAGGATCACCTGCCCTTGGTCTATCCATTAAATACATGTGCCTCTACTATGACTCCCAAAATTTGTAGCGTTAGGACCACAGAATGTCAGGGTGCCGTGATGTGGCTCTGTGGCTTACGCATGTATTTGGAAATGTGTGCTAACTAAACCCGTTTTTTAAATGCATATTGTTGGATAGGTTAATTTGGTTGCTGGCTGGCAAGTTGAACTAGCTATCTTATACCTCTTTTTGATAAGTGATACCTATTCATGTTCCTTGCTGAAAAAAAGCCATTTTTAGACTGGGGCTGTTGACCAGTGTTGTTGGTTAGCTGGCTGGTAAGTTGAACTGGGTAGCTTTAGTAGTTTGATGTGCAATGCCTGTCCATGTTCACTACTGTAAAAGCCAGTTATAGACCGGGACGGTGACCAACTTCTTTTGTATGATGTAATGGAGGTCTGTGGGTGCACTGGATACCCTGGCTGCCATTGTGCTATATGCTGGGTGTCCAGTGTGCTCCTGTACCTTTAAGGGGGGGTGGGCTCCCTCAGGATCACCTGCCCTTGGTCTATCCATTAAATACATGTGCCTCTACTATGAGGACCCCAAAATTTGTAGAGTTAGGACCACAGAATGTCGGGGTGCCGTTATGTGGCTCTGTGGCTTACGTATGTATTTGCAAATGTGTGCTAACTAAACCCCTGTTTCTAAACGCATATTGTTAGACAGGTTAATTTGGTTGTTGGCTAGCTGGCAAGTTGAACTGGCTATCTTATATCCCTCTTTGATAAGTGATACCTATCCATGTTCCTTGCTGAAAGAAAGCCATTTTTAGACTGGGGTTGCTGACCACTGTTGTTGGTTAGCTGGCTGGCAAGTTGAACTGGGTAGCTTTAGTAGTCTGATGTGCAATGCCTGTCCATGTTCAATGCTGTAAAATCCAGTTATAGACCGGGGCAGGTGACCAACTTCTTTTAAACAAGCAGGTCACCCTGGGAGATGACGCAGGCTCACCTGAGTGGCGGGGTCTAAGCACTAACTGGTATTCACCAGAGCTCCTGATGGTGGAGATGGGTTTTGCTGCGTGTTAGTACCAGGTCGCAGTTCTCAGGATCGCTCCACCAGGAACTGAGCAAGCCAGGATCCAGTAACAGATCTGGCAGGTAGGGATCTAGCAGAAGCGTAGTCAGTAAACAAGCCAAGGGTCAGTAACAAGTGGTAGCAGGTTAGGATGAGGCAGAATCGTAGTCAAGGAACAAGCCAAAGGTCGGTAGCAAAAGTATGGAAGGCAGCAGGAGAGACAAGAGCGAGATACTGGCCGGAGAAGGCACAATAATCTGGCAAACAGGAAGTGCAGAGACATGGCTTAAATCAGGAAGTTCATGGGAGGAGCAAGGAGTTCAAGGTTCAGCAGAAAACAAGGCACAAGGCAGGATTGTCCAATAGATCAGGCAGAGTGTTGTCCAGCATCCCAGATAGCTCAGTGAGAAGAGTTATTGCCAGACACAGTAGAGGCCCCAGGTTCAAGTCCAGGCCCTGACAATAGGGCAAATTAGAAAACCTGCAACATTTGCTACTGCTCTCCCTGGAGATAATCAGCCCAAGCAGTAAATGGATTCATCCCCTCCCCACTACCACTACTGTACCCCCCTCTCTTGGAGTACACTTGCTTGGCTGGTAGAGCCAAATTTACAAGTTTATTTGTCCCTCTAGAGCAGGGGTCTCCAAACTTTATAAACAAAGGGACAATTTACTGTACTTGTGGCCAGATTGTGGTTCGTGAGAGTAGAAACCGCCCAGCATCAATGGGAGTAAACAATGGCCGTCATTGGTGTCAATAGAAGAAATAGTGCCCTATCACCCATCATTGGTGTGAGTGGAAAGAATAGTGCCCTGCTGTTGATGTCAGTGGAATGAATAGTGCCCCAGTGTTGGTGTCAGTGGGAGGATTGCCCCAAGGGCCGGATAAAGGCAAGCAAAGAGCCACATCCAGCCCTGGGCCGCAGTTTGCGGACCACTGCTCTAGAGTGCTTTGGTGGTTTGAAGCCCAGTGGGTGGCCAGACAGTGCAAAATGCTTTTAAAGTCTATGAGCAGGATAACGTGAACCTTTGCTTCTCCAATACAGGAATAAGTAATGGGTTTATTTAATGGTTAAGTTCACCTTTCCATAAAAAGTTTCCATGTATGCAAGTGTCCCCAATAGCTTACTGTGCAGATTTAAAAAAAAAAGAAGCTTCTTTCAAATGTCATGCCTGCAGGCTATTTACAAGCTCATCTCTATCCTGCCTAGATGCTAGGTCATGCCATATGTTTGCTGCATGCCCCCAGTACCACAATGAGTGTTCTGCTGGGTTCAAAATTTGTGTACACGCAATGCACTCTGTCGCACAACGCTGAGCTCAAGTAGGGACTATGTATGGCCTACAGGCGTTAACATTTAAAAGAAGCCCCTTTTGTAAAAACCGCAAATTAATTTTTAAGCTACTGGGGATGCTTGAATGCATGGGAACTTTTGTCGGAAAAGTGAACTTTAAAGTGGCTCTAAAGGCTCGTTCGTTTTTTCTTTTTCCCTTAATGCATTCTCTGCAGTATGCAGCTCCCCCACAACTGCCCTCATATTTACTTGAGCCTGATTGAAATCCAGTGATGTGCTCTCTCTGCTCTCTTCCTCCTCACTGGCTCAGACAGAGAAGCAGGAATCAGTGGCTCCCACTGCTGTCAATCACAGCCAGAGAAAAGGGACCAGGGGATGGGGCTGTGCCGTGCTTTGCGTGTTTATGGGCACAAAGAGCTGACAACAGAGCGACCACACAAGTACCCCCCATAGCAAGCGGCTCGCTATGGGGGCACTCGGTGGGCGGGGGGGGGGGGCCAGGAGCCCCAGCAGGCCAACCAAAGAGGACGAGAATCGGGGCTACTCTGTGCAAAATCGTTGCATGCAACAGGTAAATGTAACATGTTTATTTTTTTTTTTTTAATTGCTTCCTGCCCCTGTCGAAGTTTAATTGTTAACTTTTTTTCACTTCCCCTTCCTTCAAATGGGAGAAAGAGAAAAATCAAACATATGATTCACACTCTTTCCTCCCTTGTGACAGTGCTCTGGCACCCAGACTTAGCACATGGGGGTTGCTTTGCCCTGTAAACAAAGTGAAATTAATTTGGGTAGCTAGCGAAAAATCACAGATGATTATGACTTAAAGGGAAAGATAATTTTTACAAATCCAGCCATGTCCCTGATAGTTCAGTTTTTGGTAGATGTGAGCTGTTAACCACGATGCTTTTATAAATCTCATAGGGACTCTAAAGGAGGGCTCTCTCCTCTTGAGCTCCCAAACTTGCATGCGTCGCATCACTCTCCCTGCCATGTAGTTGTTTTTTTTTATATTCTAAAAAATTCAACAGGAGGAATGGAAAAGGTGGGAAGCAGCATCCATGAGGAAGATCAATCCAGTGGGTGACTAAACCTAGAAGACTCCTATAACTGAATTATCAGTTTTGTGTGCAGTCTGTTTATATCTTTTTTTTTTTTTTTTTTTTTCAATATATCATTTTTTAGTTAACATACCAACTGGATTCACTAAACTCTTGACAACCTGGCATTGTGGTAGGATTTACTTGGGCATCTAATATTCCTGTCTTCTACTTGCCAACCCGCTAAGTCAGTAAGCTCCAAGGTAATTCACTGTAACGGGGAAGTACCCATAACAGCAGTTAGCAGCCTCGTCAATGAAAGGTGCCAGCTGGTAGCTAGTCTCCAGACTTCTGCCTCTCCTAAAATCTGGCTTAGTGAAGGAGATACAATACAAGTTAGCTGATCATGAGAGCATGAATTAACTTCTTCATGGTAAACACGAAAATAATGTGAACATTGTTCTATTTTTCATGGCCTTAGATCACGGGTGTCAAACTGACGGCCCTCCAGCTGTTGCCAAACTACA